AGTTATTGTTAAAGCGTAGACAAAACCAGTATTGATGTATTGATAATGTGTTTGAATCCAAGTAGCATGTATTGTCAAAGTGTGTCCGGTAAAGGGTTTTGAACTCAGTTTAAAGATATCTTACATCTTATCCAGGAAATTTCTGGATCCTTTAAACCGTAGTGCCTAACACTGAAGCAGAATTCAAGTCAGTCTTCTTACTCATAAATACAATTTAAGTATCAATGCTTAAGAACTGAATGCTATGTTCCTTCTACTAGAGTCCAGTACTCTCTGACCAGGTTCTTTTAGGTGTCCCACATGAGAAGTATTTAATATTTAATGCCAAATATACTGTAGCATGTATGATGTTACTTAAGATTTTGCATTAGCAGAGTGATGCAACAATACACTGAAATCGCAATACAAGCACAAGGTAGTAGTTGCAATATACAATTATATCACAGTAGAAATGTGATTCCCATTACTGGACTGTGTGTGCTTACTGTCACGTGACTGAAAGTGAATCAGATAATTATAGTTTTATGTTAAGCAATACTGAATTCCTTGAAGGAGCACTTGTATTTCAGGCTAAATGTAGCATTTGCACTAGAATGTTGTGTGAGATATTTATTTTTTGTAGCTGTAGCAGTGGCCTCAACTTTAAAGATAATATTTGTTTCTGTGGGAGTAATTACTATATCTAAAGTGGAGTGCTGTTATTCAGATGGAGATTAAACAACAGGAATAGATCAACTGAAGACTGTAAAGATTGTTCTTTGAGGACTTGTCAGTGTGTCTATGTGTTATGCATGAGTGTGCAGTCTCTTGAACAGTGCTGTCAATTGAGGTGCAGATGTAAATTGAATTTCCTTGTCATGGTTAGCAGGTTCAACTCCTGTATTTTTCTTTTATTCTCTCTGACATCAAGATGTATTCTGTACTATAGTTGAGTTGAAGTTTCTGTATGAAAGAATATTGAGAATGTGTTGCTCGCTTTTATCTTGATTAACTCTTAATTTGGAATGTAATTTTCATGCTGAAAAGCTGAAAAAAGCAAATGGCACATCAGAGTTCACACAAGGGAATTCTGTTGCACATCTCTGCAGAGTCCTGTTCATGTACGTACTGTCAGTGAACTGCGAGGAAGTGTCAGGAACTTGATCTGGGTTACAGCAGACGTGGAAGTCAAGATAGATTCCCTGGCTCCATTTCATGTGCTATGTGAAGAAAATGCTCTTCATAGATACATATTATGTTTCATATCACTGCATTAGCTGACCTGAATCTGTCAAATTGCCTGTCTTAGGCCGTTGGTAGCTGCTCTTAGAGCAAGGTCAGGTTATCACAATGAAGGTTTGCCTGAATAATGACACATCGTAGAGTGTTTTTGGTTAACAGCGTTGCATAAGTGACTATTCATCTAAACTTGCTCTACCAGCACTGAGAAAGCATTCTCAGGCTCTTTCAGAAAAATGTGGATATGTGAAACATTGTGTTCATAGAGGTTCTTAAAACATTACATACTGATCTTATAAAATAGATGTTTGATTTTTGGGGAGGCAGTGTATGAGTTTCTTTTATTGTGGGAATAGATGCTTCCTCAACAGTTTTTGCAGGTTTTGAGTACTGGGATTTGGCAGTGATGCACAATTGAACTAGAAAGTATGCCTGCTTATGACAGTGGAGTTTCTGAATCTTTCAGTCAGTATGGACACCACAAATAGTTCTCTGTTCTTAGTCTGAGAATCCTCAGTTAAGATGGATTTTGAATGGAGCCAACTGGATGGTGCAGTTGCCTTGTGTCCTTCGAAGAGACACATCTGATCAAAGAAACACTGAGCTCACCTGAGGCACCTGAATGTCTGCCCTGAAACCTCATGCATCAGTGGGAGTTGGGAAAGTAAATTTGTTTTAGGCTAAGTCACTGATTGCTCTTCAACTAAGTAGTAAGTAGTGAAAGGAGTCAGTAAAGACAATAAGAGGAAGTGAGAAGTACTGAATAAACAGAAAAAAACTAGTCTAAAAATTTCCCAAGTTTTCTGAGGTTTTTTTGGACATAAGACTTTAGTATTATCAAATGGACAAGTGAAGAAAGGCTACGAACTATGCTAAGGCAACAGTGTTTCTTACACCAAGTGATTATATACTCTATGCTTTCTCTCAAGCAGTTGGAGAGCTGTGGGTTTTTTGTTTGTTTGTTTTTATTGCCTGTTGTGGATAACCAGATTCTCAGTTTGTATTCATTGTGCATAACTTCTCTGACTACATGGAAACCAGGAAACTCCACCTGTACTGCCAGAGGAGCTAATCTGGAAATTCTTACTTGCGCTGATATTGGTGCACTTTGGAAAAAAAGCATACAAAGTGCAACTGCCCAGGTTCTACTGATGTAGAATATTCGTAGAGAAGATTCCATATTCTGCCTGGTGAGGAAGTTGTTTAAGGCAGCATTGTTGTCATATTCTGTCATGGGAGTTACTCTGTAACTATTTTTTTTTTAAATATCAATTTCTTTGACATTTGATTATTTCAGTGGATGGGTTGGTGAATGTCGATTATAAGGAGATAAATTAATATTTCTGAAGCCCTTGAAAGGTGGCTTCAGAAGCCTTATGCTCAAGGGTGGTTAGGAAATTTCTGAGGAGAACTGAAATTCACTAGCCATACACAGTAATGATAACAGAGGATCAAACAAAACTTGATCCTTAAGAACATCTATTCTGTCTACTCTTAATTTTATATCCTGTTAGTGTAACATTCCTTTAAAAACTACTGGGTTAGGCAGTCTCCCTTTGAAAGGAGGAGGGATATTTTTCCTTTCCAGTCATACCTCAGAGGAGGTAGAAGGCAGAATTAGAGATGATAGAGATGGGGGCAAATGAGTGTTTGCTTCTAGTCAATAGCTAACTGGAATAGTTGTTCTAATCATAAAGTAAAGGAGAAAATAAATTTACTAAGATACTGTTAAATTTTTTTGAGATTGTGAAAGATGCAGTCTGGTACATGTGTGTATGACAGTTGGTCCCTGGCTTCATTTGGAATGAGGTTTGAAAATAAATGCAGAACTCTTGAAAGCAACAAAATGCTGCTAAAGGCCAACTGTCTCCTGCATTCTTTTCAACTTCTTCGTTGGGGAAGGATTTGTAAAGATCACACAACAGGGAACTGAAATTATGGGGTTTATATGCAATTAAAATATAAATATTGTTCTCGTCAAAAGCAGAACCAATATAGTCATGAATTCAGCAATCTGCTGTAGGCAGTGGAAAGCCAGAACACTGTCTGAGGGAACTAGAGTTATCATCCTAGAGTGGGTTCCAGGATTGGAAATTGGAGAATAGGTTTTTGAATAAAGGAGAGCATAAGAGGCTGAGGTTCAAGGTGGAGGCTTCAACTCTCATGGGGGAATTATTCAGCAGTGATAAGGATGTCAGTTTCAAAGAAGTGGATAATAGATATGGAAGATGTTACAAACCTACTCAACAAATTTATTTTCTTCATAAAGCACAATCAAGCTCTGTAAGTTCACAAATATAATGAAAGTATTTAAAATAATGGCAGTATAAGCTCCTGAAGGAAAACAATGTGAAAGGAAGAATGAAAAAAAAGTCAGTTAAGCGAAATCATGAGACTGTTCTGTAAGGGAAAATTTAAATAGATAGAAATGGAACTAGAGGAATAGATTTCAGAACTTTTTGGTTTACAGTTCTTTAAAATTGCGAGCAATAGAAAAAATATGATTGGACAGAATATTTTTAACTAAAAGGTTTGTTAAGCTTTTCACTTGAAAAACAAGTAATTAAAAAACCTGTAAAAGTAATGCTGGCATTTTACATGTTCATCTTTTCCTTCTGTTCAGCTGTTTCTTCACTGGTGTTCTTTTGAAGCTAAGTTATTCACCACAGAGCTCTGCTGCTGAATATTGACAGCTTTTTTTTCAGTTAGAAAAATCCTTCTTCCTGAATTATTGGCAAATATTTATTGAATTGATATTAGTTCTCTACAGAAACTATAGAAATGGATTAAAATTCACGTACAGAATATATTAATTAGTTTATTTTTACTACGTTTAGCTTGCTTGTAGACAAATATTTTAGTCAATATTTTACTCAACAATGATAAAATATTGTCAGCTTTATGGTGGTTCTGTAGCAATGTGTGACAATTTTTCATAGGAGACCCATAAAGCTGCTACCTTTTCATAAAGTGAAGGTGGCAGTCACGAGCTGAAGGAATGTGAGAGTCAACTTAATGTACTTCATTAAATATTCCTCTTTTGTTGGAATTTTCTTCTTCTAAACTAAACAATTTTTCTTAAATACCTCATTAGAAGGGGACTATATGCTATAGACATTTTTTTTAATGTGAAAGTTTTATTCAAAACTTTTCACATTTTCCTTTCCACATTCAAGTTATGATTATTCTAATTGACACCTACATGTCTTCTCATTGATTGTGAAAGATTTAATAGGCACTGTCCTGCCTGTTAAATGCATATCCTGGTAATTCTTTTGAGATTGTAATTGTTCCCCAGTACTCCCTGGCTATTAAGTTTACCTCTTTTTCCCCTTTGGAAAGTATTAGTCTCCATAACGAGTTGTGAGGTGACATTCTGTGTGAATAGAGTGATTTGTGTGGTGCTGCTTGGGCAGGAATGCAACATGTTCCATCCATAAGGAATTTAAGATGGAGCGCGTGGAGTGATAGGGGATAGAGACTGGAGGGATTAAGGAGTTAGGAGAGTGAGACGTAATGTCGTGGATATGAATACAAATTGTAAACATCAGAGGTAGTGGTATACTTTCTTATGCTGTATGTGGAGCAGTCAGCTCATGACAGAGGTGTCAAAGCAGTTAATTGTGTACTTGTCCTGGCACAACATTCTTTTAGGCTTCTGCACCTGTATTGCCACACAGACTTCCTATAACACTGTTTGATCTTTGTTAGTGCACGTGACACACTCGTTGTTTATCTTCATTCCATGACTACAATATAACTAGTTGTTTGTTTTCTTTAAGAACTGCCTGAGACTACCTTAATTGAAGAGAAAGTTCAAGAGACAGAGGCATGGGCCAGGCCTCTGGTCTACCTTTGGCAGACAAGAGAACCCAATTTCAGTGCTGAAAAAGAATACAATGCAGCTTGTGCGAAAAAGGAACCTCACTGTGCCATTTGTACTCTTCTCATGCCATACTATAAGGTAAGCAAGATTGTTGCAGCTCCATCTCTGGATGAAGCGTGAAATAACTGGCTGGCTACTTAGTTTCCAGTAAATTATAAACCAGATAAGCTTATGCATTTCATTTGTAAGAGAGGTAAATAAACTCAAAATTGTTAAAATTAGAACTGGTAGTCTGTTCCACTGCATCTCCCCTTGGTTGCAGACAGTGTGTACCTTTACTACTATTTATGCAAGATTGGTATTACTGTGTGTGTGCTTGCCCTTGAAATTTCAGTTTTTGAGGTGGTGAACTCTAATAGGTTTGCATCTTTTAGCTATTTCCTTAAATGCCCATCTTCAAATACTTTTTATGAGAGCCTCTTTTATGTTGCCTTCCTTCAGTGTTGAAGAAGTGTTGTCACAGTACTTAGGCCTTCTTGGGAAAAGTATTACCACAGAAACAGTCTAATGCAGAGCACTGTTTGATACTGCCTTGTGGAATTAATGTGTCAAATGTCAGCTAAAAATGCCGTCGTAGTACTATATTACTGATTCTGAATCTGGTAAGCTGGAATTTCCTCAGCATGGGAACCAGGAAAAACACATTGCACTGGACTGAGTTCAAAGGCTCAAGAGATACAATATCATCGAACACCACTGCAATAACAGTAGTTTGCAGTCTGAATTCTGTTCTAGAACTCTCAGTTATTTTGAACAATCAAGATAGAATGGCTGTGATAAATACCTAGAAGTAGATAATTTCCTCATGAAACTGTTAATACTGTTGATGCAAAAGTTGGGAGGGGAGGATCAGTTTCATCATAATCAAAAGGAACAGTAAAACTCTCCTTTCTTTTACTTAAATATAAATTTTGTTTATTTTCCAGCCAGACAATCATGATGAAGAAGGTCCTACTTTCAGGGAAGCAAACTCAGCAGGAACACTGATGGCAGAAAATGAAAAGACTAAACCTCTTATTCCAGAGATGTGTTTTATTTATAGTGAAGAAAACACTGAAAACTATCCATCAAATGCCTTTGTTGAAGAAGATGGAACAAGTCTTCTGATATCCTGTGCAAAGTGTTGCATACGGGTTCATGCAAGTAAATGATCTAATGATTCTGTTGGCAGAAATGTAGTTTCAAATTTTCTTTTACTGATAAATAATAGTTATGGGCTTCTAGCATGGCTCTAAAAGTACTTGGCAAACATTTCAATTTGTAATGCTTCAATCACTGTCCAAATTTTTTTTTGAAAAGTACATTAGATTTTCTATTACTTTTTAATGGTTACTGTGAAAATATTGATTAACTTTCCTGGAAACTTTCAATAATCACAAACTTCTAATTCTTGTTTCTATTATGAGCAACTAAATTACTCTTTTACTTCTCATATTTTAAACCACTGTGTGATGTTAGTATGCCCTTACTAAGTAGTCAGGGTAAAATTCTGCTGGAGAACTTGAGAATATTCCTATTAACTTTATGTAGTAATTTCCTTCACCTTACATTCTTTTTTATTGCAAGAGTTACTGATAAATGCATGGACTTACTGCAGTAAGTTCTAAAGGCAGTAGAAATTGAATAGGTAACTCTAAAGTCCGTATGATATTCAGAAATGTGGTATAATTGCATAGGTGTCAATATATTAAGTAAAATTTTTACTGCAGGGAAAATTCAGGATTTGCTATTGTACTGACAGAACTAAGAATTACCCTGTGATTTGGGGTTTTGGGTGTTTGGGGATTTTGTTGTTTGTTTTGGTTTTTAGTTTGGCTTTGGCTTTGTGGGATTTTTTGTTGAGTGAGAATTTTTGTGGGGTTTTTTTTGTTTTGTTCTGTTTTTGTTTTGGGCTTGGGTTTTTTGGGGTTTTTTTTTGAGTTTTGGGAAGATATGTTTCACAGACTATGGAATTAGCAGACAGCCTGGATTGGAAAAGCACCTCCTTTGTCACAGGATGTGTGCTCTACTATTGTTTATATACAGTTGAAGTGTATGATGTTATTAATAGAAAGAATATAATAATCAATACAACTCTCTTGTTCTAGGTTGCTATGGTGTTCCTTCTCAAGAAATCCATAATGAATGGTTGTGTTCGCGATGCAGAAAAGAGGCCTGGACAGCTGTAAGTTTCACGTGTTGCTTAGCTATCTAAAACATTAGAGATTAAGGGGAGGGGAAAATTTCATGTGGGGCATTATTTCATGTGGAATGCAGCCTGCATATTTTTTCTGAACACTCTTGCTAGAGAAAAATTATTTGTAAAATATGATGAGATTTCAATCATAGAATCATAGAATCATAGAATAGATTGGGTTGGAAAAGACCTCCAAGATCATCAAGTCCAACCCCTGATCCAACTCCAATTACTATATCATGGCACTAAGGGCCACGTCCAATCTCTTTTTAAAAACCTCTAGGGATGGTGAATCCACCACCTCTCTGGGTAGGCCGTTCCAATGCCTGATAACCCTCTCTGTAAAGAATTTCTTCCTAACATCTAACCTAAACCTCCTCTGGCAGAACTTGAGCCCATGTCCCCTTGTCCTATTGTTGGTTGCCTGGGAGAAGAGACCAACCCCCACCTGGCTATAACCTCCCTTCAGGTAGCTGAAGAGAGTGATGAGGTCGCCTCTAAGCCTTCTCTTCTCCAGACTAAACAACCCCAGCTCCCTCAGCCTCTCCTCATAGAACTTGTGCTCAAGTCCCTTCACCAGCCTCGTTGCTCTTCTCTGGACCCGCTCCAGCACCTCAATATCCTTCCTGAACTGAGGGGCCCAGAGCTGAACACAATACTCAAGGTGTGGCCTCACCAATGCAGACTCCAGGGGAAGGATCACTCCCCTGGTCCTGCTGGCCACACTGTTCTTGATGCAGACCAGGATGCCATTGGCCTTCTTGACCACCTGGGCACACTGCTGGCTCATGTTCAGCCTCCTGTCAATCAGCACTCCCAGGTCCCTTTCTGCCTGGCTGCTCTCCAGCCACTCTGTGCTCAGCCTGTAGCGCTGCAGGGGGTTGTTGTGGCCAAAGTGCAGGACCCGGCACTTGGCCTTGTTGAACTTCCATTGGAGTCAGCCCACCTCTCCAGTCTATCCAGATCCCTCTGCAGAGCCCTCCTGCCTTCCGGCAGGTCGACACTCCCTCCCAGCTTGGTGTCATCAGCAAATTTGCTGATGATGGACTCAATCCCCTCATCTAAATCATCGATAAAGACGTTAAAAAGGACTGGGCCCAGCACTGACCCCTGGGGAACACCACTGGTGACCGGCCGCCAACTGGATGCAGCACCGTTCACCAGCACTCTCTGGGCCCGGCCCTCGAGCCGGTTCCTGACCCAGCACAGAGTGCCCCTGTCCAAGCCGTGGGCTGACAGCTTTTCCAGGAATATGCTATGGGAGACAGTGTCAAAGGCTTTGCTGAAGTCCAGATAGACCACATCCACAGCCTTTCCCTCATCCACCAGGTGGGTCACCTGATCGTAAAAGGAGATCAGGTTGGTCAAACAGGATCTGCCCCTCCTAAACCCATGTTGGCTGGGTCTGATCCCTCGTCCATCCTCTAGCTGCTGTGTGATTTCACACAGGATAATCTGCTCCATAACTCTGCCAGGCACCGAGGTCAGGCTGACAGACCTGTAGTTACCAGGGTCAGCCTTGCAGCCTTTTTTATGGATTGGGGTGATATTTGCCAACTTCCAGTCATATGGGACCTCCCCAGTGAGCCAGGATTGTTGGAAGATGATGGAGAGCGTCTTGGCAAGCTCTTCTACCATCTCCCTCATTACCCTAGGATGGATCCCGTCTGGTCCCCAATGTAAAATGTAATGGCATTTTGATAGACAAAATTGGAATAGTTTTACAGACTCATGAAAAAGATTGAGTGACAGAATATAGTTGTGTGAAAAATGTTGTTCAAGGAAAGAACTGAAAATTAAGATGCTCATAAGAGAGAAAAAAAATGAGCTTTCTCCTAAATAGGTATAATCCAATTTTCATCTTTCATTGTTTATCTGAGTACCTTGTTACAGCTTCTTTATCAGACAGTCATGAGTTTCAGGATCTCCTGAAACATATTTGTGACTATTGTTCTAGAGTAAGGGGAAAGTTGATAGGAAAAACACTACTCTGTTTTAGCAAGTGAGAGGTTGCTATGAGCTCAGAATTTTATTATCAATTAAACCAACAGGGTCAGAAAGCCCTGCTACTCTGTGAAAAAGTTTTGTTATTTTCTTTTCAGGGAAGATACAACTATGATTTGCAAGCATGGGAGTTCTAAGGAGAACCATTCTTATTCATGAAATACCATGCATGACAGCAATAGGACTGAATGCCATGTTGGTGTTAAAAAACACTGAAAAATTTAGTATGTTGCCTTGGAACCTGATGTTAACTTAATACATAATGGAAATGCATTTGAGGGGAAATTTAGAGAGACTCTTTGTCTTTTGAGTATAGTATATTTTTTTAAAAGCAAAAGTCCCTAAAAAAAAAGTAAACCAAAATTCAGTCTTATAATTTGTTAATTCTGTGTTGTAGAAAGGATTCTAAAATTGTTCTGGAGTTTAAGAATATTTTACGAATATTCTTGAAGTGAAGAGGATGTTTAGATAGCATTCGTAAGTGAAAGATAAGAACAATAGTGAGGTGACTGACTTGACTCAGATTCACTATGGGTCAATAGTAGAGAAACTTGAAAATATGATAGAAAAAAAAATGTTGGGGAGAATATCAAAGCTTGATTTGGCAAACTTTTTTGAGGAAAATTAACACCCATGGAAAACAATAATTTGAGAAGAATTATTCATGTTTTACTGAATATACTTAGTTCTGTTCTGTTATGATGCATACAAGTTTCTGAAAATAAGAAAGATCTGAATTTTAGGGAAAGTAATTTCAGCCAAATTATTTGAGGAAATGAGATGAAGCAGTAAAGAGATATCAAAACCATACAGAAAACAGCTGAGTGGAAATTTTATATGATGAGGTTTTAGAATAGGATCTTCGCAAAAGCACACTCTAGGAACTGGAGAGAAGGCCCAGTGTATTCCTATAATTTTATATCTTGGGTAATAAGAAGGTAATAGGGCTGAAATGGTGCACCATTCTCACCACGCAAAGACTAGACAGTGTATGTTGGCAGTTTGGACAATTTATTTTATATAAGCTTTGCCTATTACATATTCAACTGTATTGCTGTGATTTTATGTGTGTATTGATTACTGTACAGCTGAATCATTAGTGCCAACAACTTAATCTTTCTGTAGCTCTGTTTTGGTAACACGAGTGAAGTGAACTTGTAAAGTAAGAGAGCTCTTTGTACAGACATGTTTGTGTAAAAAAGTTCCATTCTTAATGCCTTAAATAATTTTTAGGTTGGAAAGTTTTAGTGAAATATCTGAGATTGAATATACCTCATTAGTATTACGTTTACTTACAAAGTTGTCCTCCAATCTGCTATCTTGTAGTCTTCATTATTACATGCCATTCACATGTAAATGTGAACTGTTCATTTTCACCTGAAAGATGTAGGAAAGATAGATAGTAGGTATGTGTTACCTGAGTTAAATAGCAGAAATCCAACTGTTTAAAGGATGTGGATAATGCTTTGTTATATACTCACACATGAATGATACACAATTCACTTTTTCTTTTTTAATAATAGTGTCTTTCAGAAGTCTTGAGATGCTGAAGCAATCTCAGAGCTATGTAGTGATTACTAGAGCTTGCAGAGCTTAGCTGAGGTGACATCAGCTTTTTAAAAAGGCAAGAAATGGATGACTGAGGAAGTAGGTGGCAGTCAACCCATCAGGAAAATACTAGTAGATCTATTAATTTCTAAAAACCTAGACAATAACAGAATACAAAGAGATATGTATTTAAGACAGCTCGTGGGAATAAGAAATAAGCAAAAGATTTCATGCATCCTAACTTCAAATACTTTTGATAGTGTTTTAAATTCTGATATAGCTGTAACAGAAGACATACACTGAAAATTAATAGTTGCCAAATATATAGCAATATGGATTTACTTTCAACCCTTAGTATCTCAGGCCACCAACCATCATTCTCATCAGACTCTTAAAACTGAGAGATCTGATAAAGGTTTGGGCATTGTTTGCTGATTACTTTTCATACCCTTAAGATATGTAGAAATCTAGACTGGTCTACTTTAAGCCGTTTAAGATGATTGCACAGGAGCTGAAGGAGTATGCTTCTTGTGAAAATGCCAAAGTGTTAAACTATATTGAAGAAATGGTGTAAAATAAATCATATGGAATTCAACAGAGATAGATACAGCACAATCGTCAGTTATGCACACATAAGATGGGAATCTGTACCTAAGCAGTAGCTCTGGTTGCCAACTGCAGTTCTGACCACTCTGGTCACAAACTGAATGTAAATCATTAGTTCTGTAGAACCTGAAACATTACATGAGGATGTTTAAGACTTGTAATAGAAGCAAAGTCTGAAAAAAACCATCATGGAACAGTCTTTCTGCTCTCTTCAGTTTTAGAGAGAGCGCAGCTGAAGAACTGCATCTCATAGTGAACATACAGGGCTGAAAAAACCATGTGCTTGAATGGGATGGAAGGAAGCAAGAGTTGCAACTGAAAATAAACCAAAATTCTTTTAATCATTCCTAATAGATCTCAATCATACCATAAGGGCGAGTTGAAAAGATTTAACCTTCTTAGTTTAGGCAGGGGAAAGCAGAAAGGAAAAAAGTTGCATTCAGTCATGTAAAATTATATGTGTATGACTAAGAGTAATACAATCAATTCCCATTCTCTCATTTTAGGGATATGACGACTTGTAGAAGCTTTAAGTTGCATCAGCAGAAGTTAATATCAGGACATTTTATGAATTTTTATTTCTCTAAAACTAGTGTACCATAAGAATAGGATATATATAGATTTTACAGAAGGTACTCCTTCACAATTTTTAAAAACATGTTAGATAAACATTTTTTCAGGAATAGTTGAAGAAGACTTGATTGTGCCCTGAGGCAGAAGGATAAAATAGACAGTGAACCTTTTTTTTCTGTAGTTCTCGTTTGCTTGTTTGAACAGTATTATTCATTGCAAAGCATTGTGATTGTAGTTATCTTTGGAAAAAAAATTAT